AAGTAAAAAATCATTAAAAGAAATCAAATCATTAATTAATCGTTCTGATGCAATTACTAATAATTTTGACTTCAAATATTTTCATAGATCATGCCAAATTGTCCACTGTCGCCTTAGGCTCGGCTGCAGTGACTTAAACGCTGATAAGTTTAGACGACATGTATCAGACATACCAGACTGCACTTGTGGATATCACCTTGAAGATGCAATTCACTTTTTCTATAACTGTCAAAAAATACGATAATATCAGAAACACTGTGTATTTCTACACACATGGGTATGGTCTAAAAATGATATTACGTGGCAGTAGTTAAGCAGTTCTACAAACATGACTCTTCTTAAATCAGTTCACGACATCATTGTCAAAAGCAAAAGGTTTGAGTCGCTTAATTTTATGCATGTAGTAAAGGAAAACTGCATTACCTTATTTCACAGACACCACTTGCTTCAGTGTATTGGCTTCGTGTATTTCATTTGTGCATTTTGTATGTTTATGTTCATCACTCTCTTATATATATCCAGCTGTTGTTAAGTTGTTACCTGGAGAGGTATTACATAAGCAAGTTTTGCTTGTTTACCGATCCAGATTTCTTTTGAAATAAAAATACGTTTAAGCCAACACAGCTAACCCTAAAACACATGATTGTAAACTATTCAAAAAGGGGCACTAATCTCTGGCTTCTTCTCGGGTGTCGGACTCAAACTCAAACTCATTTATTCTAAGAATAACATGACATACAATTATCTACAATTTTTATTATGTACAATTTAACAAAAATAATAAAAATAGGATACGTGGATACTAATACAATTTACCAATTGTATTGTACACATTGTTAAGGAATTTAGATAGGCCTTTTAGATTTCTTACACTGTTAGTGGTCATAATTTTCTTAAATGTTTGGAAACTTAAGATATCGCTTATTTAAGAGTTCATATCGCCATTGGTGAAAAGCTTCACATTGGAATAAATAATGCAATTCATCTCCCACAGCGAAAGATTCACAGAGTGGACACTGGCTGTCTTCCCTGGGAATGTTCAGCCATCAACCAGTTTCAACTGGTAATCCTTGGTTAGAAAGTTCTGACTTTAATTTTGAGAGCTGTAGATATTTCGCAAATGAAGGTTGATTCTTCAGGTAATACGACCTTTGGATTTCCGCTTGGGCTTTCTAGCTGCCATGAGTCAATTTGCTCGTTAACGCAACCGAGCGTGACAAGAGACTGGGCTACCAGTCTGCAAGGACAGCTAAATAAGCTTACGCATTTTTGAAAACTGATTGGTTACCCGTGATCTATGAAGATTTCAACAAAGGGCGCATGGTAATTAATTTCTTCAGCCTAAACAAACAGACAAATAACGGCGAAAGCTCATCGGATGTCGTTATTTGGAAATACCCCTGATGGTTACAGTTTAATAATAAAAAAGTATCCCTGAGTGAAAGCATTTGCGGATTTCGGATTGCGTGGATGATACAATTACTACTCCCTTGTTGTCATCCACATTTTCTGGTATAACCCTACACTTGTGTATTTATCGTAATTCACTTGCTGCTCAGTTAATGAATTTATAACATGTATACTTAGTTGTAGCACCACTCAGATTATAAAGGTTCAAATTTGGTCTTTCTTGTACCTGGGGTAATTATTCAATCTAAATCCAGGTTTGAAGTGAGGTGGAATGTGAGTTATGTGATATGCACGTGGCAGCCCAGCAAGAGATGTATGGTCAGTTGCTTTACTTTTTTTGTAAATCAACTGATCATTCCCAGACATCAAAGGATCAACAGGAAATACGTTGATTGATTAATTACTGTTATCTTGCACAGTGGATATGTCAAAAGTAAGTGGTTACATGTGAAGGTAGGTTTACTAAACCTAGGGAATACACTCATATCATGGCGTGAAGTAGAGATGTAAAAACAACATACTTTGTTCAAAGGGTAACCGATAATACACTGACTGGTTGTTTATTGTAATCTAACTCAATGTATGTTTTTAAGAACCGTGGACATTATAAAAATAGTTGTCACGTGGGCTTTCTCAGCTAACTTGGCACCTATGTGAAACAATTGAAACAAACTAAGTGATCAGTTAAGAAACAAACACGGGTTATAATATTCGATACATTTAAATAACGTATAAGTATAAGTATATATCGAATAAGTATTTTTGTACAGCTGCAGACGCAATGGATATTGTTCCTTTATGTTGATATTCCCGGATACATTATAACTTTAGTAGGTTGAAATAATGATATTTACATTATGTTTTCATTCATTCGCTGCAGCTTTGAACAGAATCATTCTTGTTCCTTTCCGTTTGGTTGGGAAGTTTTTCGATGCGCGATAGACGTTGTTTTCACAAGTATTTTCTTTTGTAAGCGTGTATATGTTACAGTCAATGTGTAAAATATGATTCACTCAGGCAATTTATTAAATATCTAAATATTTCAGTCATTTTACAAATTGACTGAATAATCCATTCATTTATTTAACCGACTGACTAAAAATGATAAAGACGATCAAAAGAGCTTAAACACATCACAATATATTAATTATGCTAAGAAAAGAAGCCAAACAATACAGAACTGTACTTGGTGATGATATTAAACATAAACAAATATTTGGAATTCATTATCATATTAATAAAGATTGACATATTTTTCAGTTAATTTGTAAAATAAACTGAATATTTAGGCATTTAATAAATTTATTTAGTGAAATCTGTTTACATTTTGAATGTAAACATATACACACGGTAAAATAAGCAATGTTCAGATGAAATATTTACTTTGTGTTGCAAGTCAAAATAGTGTACACAAAGATCGCACAATTACCAAGCAAGTGACTTACCAAAACTGCATCACCATTACCGATGCTCCCCACTAATATACCTACATTTCCAAAACTGTATTTCATTTTTGTTGATCAATGTGACCATACATCCTTCTACTTTCAATAAAAATGCGCTTACGAATGGCGAGCACAGGTCGCGAACAAGTCTAGATTTCTGCTATATCATCTGGGTACGCACTGGGAAAATACAGTAATGCACAGGCAACAACTACTCCCGCGGAATTGCTTTAGATCAGTGCTCCTTTGTACGTTGAAATACTATATATTGTGAATGCCAAAATGATGTATCAAGGATCAAGTAGAAGATACATTGACCGTAGCGCTGGGAGTTTATTCAACAGACCTGTGAAAATAACACTGCTGTATCTTATTATTTATTTTAGATGACGCAGTCAAAGCTCACTTCTCCTGGCGGCCATTATCGAACGGCCAGCTAAAACACAACCCCGCGCTTACATCTACAGGTCTCTTCCTGTAGTACGGTAATTAGTATTCTCTCCCTCAAGTGTATCCTCAATGATATAACCCACCCTCCTTAATTACATGCTGCTCTTTTCCAGCCTCACGGCTATGGAGCTGAGCTAAAGAGTCCAAGTCATCATAAAGTAATTTGGGTCCAATAAAAACAATGCGCCGCCAAACCTCATACATATTATCACTGAAAGTTGTACTACAGACGGTTAATGTCAAATCACAATAAAAGCATTTCAGTTGCAATAACATGTTCCAGGACCATGTATTCTCTTAACACCATCGGATTTAGAAGCAATGGTCGTATAAAACAAGACAGATCTATTTAAACACAACAGTATTCATGTTATTCCCACAAAATCACATAAAGAAAGGAGACATTAGCAAATACATGTGTGTTATCATTTTCTCTCCTTGTTACCATCTCCAGGTTCAGCTTAAGACGGGTCCTCCTTTGGTCAAAAGTTTGTTCCCCCTCTAATGAGTGTGTCACGCGTTGCACACGATTGGCGGACGGGGTGCACACCCGTGACCAACCCGATGCACACTGGTTGCGTAACGCGTTGCCCATGCGTGTAAGGGGAATGAACTTCTAGGCAGTAGTGTAACATATATTTTACCCCACTTCGCTGTGTTACATAACATACATTTTACCCCACTTCGCTGTGTTACATAGCATACATTTTACCCCACTTCGCTGTGTTACATAACATACATTTTACCCCACTTCGCTGTGTTACATAACATACACTTTACCCCACTTCGCTGTGTTACATTACATACATTTTACCCCACTTTGCTGTGTTACATAACATACATTTTACCCTACTTCGCTGTGTTACATAACATACATTTTACCCCACTTCGCTGTGCTACATAACATGCATTTTACCCCACTTCGCTGTGTTACATAACATACATTTTACCCCACTTCGCTGTGCTACATAGCATACATTTTACCCCACTTCGCTGTGTTACATAACATACATTTTACCCCACTTCGCTGTGTTACATAACATACATTTTACCCCACTTCGCTGTGTTACATAACATGCATTTTACCCCACTTCGCTGTGTTACATAACATGCATTTTACCCCACTTTGCTGTGTTACATAACATACATTTTACCCCACTTCGCTGTGCTACATAGCATACATTTTACCCCACTTCGCTGTGTTACATAACATACATTTTACCCCACTTCGCTGTGTTACATAACATACATTTTACCCCACTTCGCTGTGTTACATAACATGCATTTTACCCCACTTCGCTGTGTTACATAACATGCATTTTACCCCACTTTGCTGTGTTACATAACATCCATTTTACCCCACTTCAAACCTTGATTTAGATTGAATAATTACCCCAGACAGGGAATGCCAAATGGGAACCTGTCAGGTAGTAAGAGTGGTGCTACCACTAATTATACCAGCAATAAATTCATTAACGGAGCATCAAGTGAATGATCATAAATACACAATTGTCGGGTTATCCCAGGATGCATGGATGACAAGGGAATAGTAATTGTATTATCCACACAATCCAAAATCCACCAAAATGCTTTCACTGCAGTGAGGCTATTTTTTGTTAAATTAAAACCATTAAGGGTTTTTCCACATAACGACATCTGATGAGCCTTTACCATTCTTTTTGTTGTTTTGTTCAGGTGGAAGAAATTGATTTCCATGTGCCTTTTGTCATCTTCACAGATCACAGGTAACGATATCAGTGTTCAGAAAAGGTGAATTGATGAGGACAAGCAGGCAGTGTCAGACATCCCGGAAGAAGAGAGAGATTAGTGCCCCTTTAATGCTTAATGTTTGCATTTCCGCTTTGAATGAAATGTTAAACTACCCCAACATTTAAGAAAGAAAGGAATGTAAGAAAATCCCAATTTGAACAAAATTACAGTTATGTAGGCCTATAATATATCCCTGCATGGAGATAGGAGTCTGAGTTGGCCTAATGGCCTACCAATAACATGTCTAGGTGTGTCTGCAAAAATAATGTTGGTCTACATGCTCTATGAAAACATGACATATTGACTGCTTTAAATATGTTGAATTAAATAATAAATATTCACATTTCTAACACACAACATGACAACTTGGGCTGGGATTGTTCACTCAGGCACTCTGTGGATGGGTCATGAGTAGGACCCGAGTACCCACAGTACCAGATCTACCTTTGTTAAGTCATGTGATACTTTGTTTAATGACAATAACAATCAAACTCCAAGGTTTCACTTCAAGTCACTGAATGGTTGCCTTTCTTTCAGACAATGCACACATTCCTTCTGATTTTATTATGTTTGAGTAATTATTAAAGCTTCTGTCAACTTCAGTGTATGCATGATCAGATCACATTATGTGTGTATCTAAGTAGTTTTCACAAGGGCTGTGGTAAAACACTTCCCTATCGGACTTCTTGCACCCAACTCGAGACCTACAGCAGGTAGGGCTGAAATATTAGAATCAACAGGCCTGTTTCTGTACAATGGATAAGTGTATAGATATTGTTTTCACAATAGATAGGCCTAGTTTATACAAGTATTATAATAATTATCTCAGATCGTGGGTTTCACCGAAGTGGTAAACGTCTGAGACCTGCATCACTTCGGGCTTTCCTCCCACATTAAGCTGACACGCCGTGATATAACTGGAATACTGTTAAAAGCGGTGTTAACCCAACTCACTCACTCACTCACTCACTCAGATCTTGTAAAATTTTCAGAGTGATATCTAAAATTCAAATTGAACATACCACACAGTCAGCTTGTTCATGCAGAAGTCTTAGTCTAAAGAACAACTTGCCCGTCACATCTCCTGGATATCAGGCATCTGTGAGTGAGCACGGTAAGAGACAAGCACCACTGTTGATACAATCATTATTTTCAAGAAGAGACACGATACAAACCATGCATCAGGAATACTCCCAGAGCCTGGAGAGACAGTTGATACTGTCCACGTAAGTCAGAACACCGGAATTAATAAAGTGTTGATGAATATAATCACACCCTCAAAAGGTTGCAAATGTTTTTTATGATATACTTTTGAAAGCGCAAACTGTACCAGCAGTATGTAAAAAGTGGTAAAACATTACTGATATTATACAACCATGGGAGGTTCTATTCACAAATAATAGAAGATGTACAAAAGACACTAAGTTGCTCAATTTTCAATACAAGTTTATTCACCAAATAGTATACACTAATAATGAACTACAAAAGATAAAAAGTGTGTACTTTCTGCTAGAGTGAACCAGAGAATAGAAAACACCTCCTTGTTTCGTGTGTGCATTTGAAAAAGTTCTTGAATGATCTGACTGTTTATTAATATCTTGATATCGATGTTGGATTAACATCAGGATTAACCCATCTGGTGATTAGCATTGTGCTGTAAAGGGCAACTGAAATGAATAGAGCACATATGAAACTTCACAAAATGAATGTTGTGACAGTAGTATGGACAAGCATTTAATTCTCAATGAATATATTTTTATAATATTATCTTACTTTCATGTCAAATACTTGAACAACATCATCATGAATTCCCATCTGTCCCACTCTAGCCATGTAAAACATGGAAAAATATACCCTGCTGTCATGGCAACAGGCATGTTGCTGATTTGTGTAATGACTAAAATTTTAACATGGACTTTGATTACTGTGGTAATATATGGTGACAATGTTGCAATGTGGTGATACAGTGGCAATGTGGTGATACAGTGGCAATGTGGTGATACAGTGACAATGTGGTGATACAGTGACAATGTGGTGATACAATGGCAATGTGGTGATACAGTGACAATGTGGTGATACAATGGCAATGTGGTGATACAGTGACAATGTGCTGATACAGTGGCAATGTGCTGATACAGTGGCAATGTGGTGATACAGTGGCAATGTGCTGATACAGTGGCAATGTGCTGATACAGTGACAATGTGCTGATACAGTGGCAATGTGGTGATACAGTGGCAATGTGGTGATACAGTGACAATGTTGCAATGTGGTGATACAGTGGCAATGTGGTGATACAGTGACAATGTTGCAATGTGGTGATACAGTGACAATGTGGTGATACAGTGGCAATGTGGTGATACAGTGGCAATGTGGTGATACAGTGGCAATGTGGTGATACAGTGGCAATGTGGTGATACAGTGGCAATGTGGTGATACAGTGACAATGTTGCAATGTGGTGATGCAGTGACAATGTTGCAATGTGGTGATACAGTGACAATGTGGTGATACAGTGACAATGTTGCAATGTGGTGATACAGTTGCAATGTGGTGATACAGTGACAATGTGGTGATACAGTGGCAATGTGGTGATACAATGGCAATGTGGTGATACAGTGACAATGTGGTGATACAGTGACAATGTTGCAATGTGGTGATACAGTGGCAATGTGGTAACACAGTGACAATGTGGTGATACAGTGACAATGTTGCAATGTGGTGATACAGTGGCAATGTGGTGATACAGTGACAATGTGGTGATACAGTGGCAATGTGGTGATACAGTGGCAATGTGGTGATACAGTGACAATGTGGTGATACAGTGGCAATGTGGTGATACAGTGACAATGTGGTGATACAGTGGCAATGTGGTGATACAGTGGCAATGTGGTTATACAGTGGCAATGTGGTGAAACAGTGACAATGTGGTGATACAGTGGCAATGTGGTGAAACAGTGGCAATGTGGTGATACAGTGACAATGTGGTGATACACTGTGCGTAGAAGAGGGAGGGCAACATTGTAGGATGTTTAGAAATTATATTTGTAAACAACCACTTAATGTAACCAGGGGTGTTCATAAATAACATGGGTCATATGTAAAAGGATTTATTGACAACGGTCAGAACAAACGCCTCGAAACATACTTCCAGATATAAATACACAGACATAAATATGTAAGGGTACATCACATTCACATGCAGTCATAGTTATTGTCATTCACATCGTCACGCAGATGACATCATAGAAACAGATACAACTCATGTTATTAACAAATAGATTGAAGGATGTGTCAGAAGTCACAATAACTTTTTTTTTATCCCTATACATGTGTAATGATATGATAAATATAATTATGGATTACATTAATTCACAAGACAATACAAGCATAGCTGGTAGGTGAAACTGGGAGTTGCTGTGTTCAGCACACTGGAGTGAGTGAGTGAGTTGGGTTTTACGCCGCTTTTAACAGTATTCCAGGTATATCACGGCGTGTCAGCTTAATGTAGGAGGAAAGCCCGAAGTGATGCAGGTCTTAGACGTTTACCACTTCGGTGAAACCCACGAGCATGGGTATGGTGCTGACAAACCTAGAAACATAATTGGGGCGAACCGAGATTCGAACCCACAATCATAGGTTTCTGGCGTGCCCAAGGGACGCAACTCTGCACAGCGAATCGCGGCGCCTTAGACGACTGGGCCACCCGTGCCCCTCAGCACACTGGAACTGACCACACAGTGATGCCTGCATCTGAATACAAACTCACAGACAAATATACTCACTCTCAAATGAATCATTTAGGAAAGGTGAAGATATATACTGCTGTATTTCTTTAGAAACTTACTGACCTAGTTTAAACATTTTAGTGGTTGCAATGACATGACTATAACTAATTGAGATAAGTAATTAGACTTTGTAATTCTACAACAGATTACACAAATAAGTACAAGTATATCATAACAATACGTATAAAAACATTACTGACCTGTTAGGACGGTCTCAAGAGCTGAAATATGACACAAAGCAAATGACTGTTGTCAGCATGGTCAAGGTGTTGTGGCTGGTGTGCTGGTAGTTAGTATTTTAAACAAGGCCAATCAGGCACAAGCTGAATTAAACAAAGGACTGACCCAAGCTACCTACCCTACCCCACAGCAAGTAGAAGTTATTACATGAATACAAAGATAGAAAATACACATACAAAAACAACACTGCCACTCAGCACATATTGATAGCAGTGGAGCCCTGGAAGCTCCTGACATCATTACATCCGACCTCAGCACATATTGATAGCAGTGGAGCCCTGGAAGCTCCTGACATCATTACATCCGACCTCAGCACATATTGATAGCAGTGGAGCCCTGGAAGCTCCTGACATCATTACATCCGACCTCAGCACATATTGATAGTAGTGGGGCCCTGGAGCTCCTGGCATCATAACACCTGACCTCAGCACATATTGATAGTAGTGGGGCCCTGGAGCTCCTGGCATCATAACACCTGACCTCAGCACATATTGATAGCAGTGGAGCCATGGAAGCTCCTGGCATCATAACACCTGACCTCAGCACATATTGATAGCAGTGGAGCCATGGAAGCTCCTGGCATCATAACACCTGACCTCAGCACATATTGATAGCAGTGGAGCCATGGAGCTCCTGGCATCATTACACCCGACCTCAGCACATATTGATAGCAGTGGAGCCATGGAGCTCCTGGCATCATTACACCTGACCTCAGCACATATAGATAGCAGTGGAGCCATGGAAGCTCCTGACATCATTACACCTGACCTCAGCACATATTGATAGCAGTGGAGCCATGGAGCTCCTGGCATCATTACACCTGACCTCAGCACATATTGATAGCAGTGGAGCCATGGAGCTCCTGGCATCATTACACCCGACCTCAGCACATATTGATAGCAGTGGAGCCATGGAGCTCCTGGCATCATTACACCCGACCTCAGCACATATTGAT